TTCTCTTAGTTCAATGAGAAGAAAGTTTTGAACTAATAGTGTTCAGATGAGATATCATGTCTGCATCTTGTACTATGAATCACTACTATGAAGACAACAATATGCAATGTATTAATTATTGTAACTGTCCTGCTGACCTGTTTTGAAACTGTCTCATTGCTATTTCTTTCTCAATGAGATTAATATAAAAAAATTTTTGAACAGCAACAATGCTATAATGATGATAATGAATTTCTTTTCAAAGAGATGTTTTTCATTCATTTGAATAAAGCCTCAGAATGAGCTTAAGCATTTTAGTCTTATAAAATACATTGAAAAGCAACCTGGTGGATTAATATGTTCAGTTGAAAAGAATTACTTTTCCAAAATACGGTATTATTTTGTTTTCAGTCTTCATAAGGTTAAGCAGAGAAACACTATCTTGCCTTTCCTTTTCAGATGAAGATGCCCTATCTGGCTGATGCAGTTATGTGCTATAGAGCGTGTTCTAGAACGTTCTACCAGCGAATTAGTAGGTGATGACACAAGGGATGACACAATGGGTGGGTCTCTGTGATGGAGATGCGGCTGTCCTTTGCTTTCCTCAAGCCCACAAAGCGTATCACTTGGACATACTTTTCACTCACCTCCCTCTTGTCCACAAACATACTCAAATTATTATAACCAAGAGAAACCAAAATTAAAAGCAAATTATTTTGTCAGTAATTCTCCTACTCATGTTAGCATCTCTCTCTCTCTCTCTCTCTCTCTCTCTCTCTCTCTCTCTCTTCTTTGCATTCTCTGTATAAGAAAATAAACTCCATAAATGTTTTTAAAGTCAAGAACTCTTGCTATATATTTGTATGTAGAGCACTGCTCTCTACACTCTTCCACCATTTCAGATTTTGGTGTGAGCCTGCTCCCACAGGGAAGCTGAACCCCAAGTCTTTGTCAATGTCAACACAAGTCTCAGGTACCTGGCTAGCCCCCACACCTGCATGCTGGCTTTCCTCATGGCTTTGACTATGATGATTTTCATTCTGAGACAATTTTATACATTACATTTCCCTATTGGTTCCCTGTGGGGGACCAGGCCAGGAGTGCATGATTAAGCTGAATGATTGCACTGCAGGAGAAAGGCACATGATAGGCTCCATGAGGAGGGAATAGTTAAAGTGTGGAGTAAGAGCATACACAAGATTAAAGCACAAGACAAAAGGCTGTGAGAGAAGACATAATTAAGATGTGGGGCAAGGGCTGGCGAGATGGCTCAGTGGTCTAAAGCACCTACTTGGAACAAGCTTGGCAAAGCACAAGGACCGCGGTTCAATCCCCTAGCACCACATGCCAGCCAGCCCCGCCCCCTGGTGGGCTGAGCTGGCCACACACACACACACACACACGCATAAATAAATAAATGTTTATAAAAAAAGATGTGGGGCAAGAACCCTCAGGGTCTGTGAGGGATGAATGGTTCAACTACAAGGCAAAAGCCAACAGCCTGAATAAAAATGGAATGGTTGAGCAACAAGTCCAGATTAGGGAAGCATGTTATATCCCGTCACTGTCCTTTTTCCAATGGCTCTGTCCCAAACTATATTTTCTCCTGTATTTTTGTCTCTTATACTAATATTCTAGATACAAGCCAGAATTCTCAGCTTGGTGGCTTTTTCGTCCCTCAGAGTCCCCCAGAGGCTGGCTATTCTCTGTTGAGAAATAGCCTTTCTGATCCTCTTGGGGCTGATCCAAGCCCTGTCTCCATGTGAGCTTGTCCATCCTCCCTACCCCAGTGGTCACATCCAAATGATGCTGCCCAAGTCCAGACATTGCTTCATCCTTGCTGATATTTTCCTTTTTATCTCATTGAGAAATCACACACAGTTCATTCCTTTTCATTGATCAATTAAGATCTATGGTTCTTTTCAATTCCATTGAATGGAAGTTAAATTTATAACCAATGTAAGTCTCAGAGTTAACATTCAGAGTTATGGGTGTATTTTAAAAACGTTAAAAAAAAATTCACTTCCAGGATTAGTAGGTGTTGATGAATAATGCTGTGTATGATTCTTTCAACACATTTCTTTGAGTCCTATTCATCAGGAAGGGTGATCACCTTTTTACTGCCAATGTTCTTTTTTTTTTTTTTTTTTTTTTTTTTGGTGGAACTGGGGATTGAACTCAGGTCCTTGCACTTGCCAAAGAAGTGCTTATTCCACTGACCCATCTCCCTGGCCCCAATGTCCTATTATAGTGATACTTACTTAAAGCAAATTTTGGCTCTCTACTTCTTATCCTTAAGACTTGATGCTCTTGTTTGAAGGAGTTGAAATACTTTTCCTAATCCTTGCTGAAGTGCCCCTGAAAAACTACTGCCACTTCCTAGAAATCGCCATGCAATTTTACTTTGATGTTCAGTATTAATCACTGTGTATAACATTTTGCTTTTAGGCTTCAAGTCAACATTCAGTGTCAGCACTTTGGCCTTTCTGAAGAATCCTGGAGAATTTTCTGATATATAAATTAAGCCTGCATAGCTTTAAATTTTTTTCCTCAGAGCAGCATTTTTATGCTATCATTTCTCCAGTGTTGTATTCTTCCTGATATTTTGTGTCAAAATCAAAAGGAAATAATTTATGCTAACATATGCAATATTACATTAAACAATAATGATATAAACTATTTCTAATGGATTGGAATGTTAGATGATGCTTATATGAAAGAGAGAAAAGTGTTAAAATATGTTATTTATAAATTAGATTTCCTTTTAGCAGATGATGCCATTAAGTATGGAATAATTCAGCTTTTTAATACAATTTGCCTTAGAGTGAATTAAAGAATATAATAGCTACCTGTGGAACTAGAAAGCTTTTAGTGGAAGCCTGTTCACTTGGATATAAACTTCTTTCTTGCCGAGGCATTGTTCTTTTTTCCTCCCTGAACATGATCAAGAAGAGCATATAACTTAAAATTCATATTTGCCTGACGACACCCCCCCCCCCCCGCCCCTGGAAGGAGCATTAAGTGCTTCACCATCAACACCAGCCATCCAGGCACTCCCTAGGCTTGCCTTGTCATCATGGAGATTATGCCGATTTTACCAGAGGGCACTCTATCCAGGATTTAATTGCTTCAGCTCAGATCCCTGGCACCTCTTCGTATAGATTTCTTTTTCCTCCTGCAATAATGAGTTGTGCTCACCTGCTTTCTTTCTTGTTTTGTTTTCTTTCTTTCTTCTCCCTCTTTCTCTTTCATATTTCATTTCGAGTCTCTGCTTTTCAATGTAATTTCCCCCCACTTTTTCATATCAAATATGTAATTTCTTGTGGATATTATCTATGTACTACACAAAGTGGGACTCTCCAGTGAAATATACTCTTAAGGTAACTAGTTAAAGAGTTGTAGGTTCACCAGTGAGGCTGAGACAGGAGGATCACTATGAGTCTGAATTGCATAGTGAGACCCTATATCACAATACCACCACTACTACTAATAATAATAATGAGTTATACGCTTCTGTATTCTCATAATGCGTCTGGTTTTAAAGAATATCTTGTTAAATCAAGGAAGCAAGGCTAATCTGCTTCCTGTGATGGATTTTCAGGGATACATAAAACTTCTTTAACTTTAGAAAAAAATTCAAAACCAAAAGAAAAATGTAAGGATAATATAAGAAACATTTGCATACTTGTATATGTGTTTAATTCTGATTCTGTTTAGTTCTGCACTGGGTGTTTTTTCTATATACACAACACACATTTTTTTTCCTGAGTCATTTGTGAGTTGCATACTAATATACTTTTATTGCTAAGTACTTTAGTACAATTTCCCTAAACTAAGGATAGAAGTAGCTATAGATAATGTTATAAATTTTAGGAAATTTTGCATTGAAGCATCTAATCAATCTTCCATATTTCTATTTTCTTTATTGACCCAATCTTTGTATCACCTTTCATCTTCCTAATCCAAGTTGGAATTCAGACTGAGAACACGTATCACAGGTAGTTGTCATGTTCTTTCACTTTCCTTTATCTAAAGCAAGTCTTTAGCTTTTTTTTTTTTTATTTGTTTTCTTCTGCATTTTAGGGAAGGGTCTACAGTGTGTTCAGGGTCTCACTAGTAGAATGAACTCCTAGTGATCCTCCTGCTTGCAGCATCCCAAAAGCTGGGATTACAGGCGTGTCACAGTCCCCATCTCAGTGTGCTCCGGGGGCGGGGCCAGCACAGCACAATGGGGATCAAACTCTGGTCCCTGAGCCTGCCCAATCAGGTGCTTTAGTCCACTGAGCTATCTGGCTGACCCTCTGTTCATTACTTTGGTGCTCAAGTTATACAAATTCAGTTAATATGAATTATTTCAAACTGATTCCTATTGCTTTCGACATTAACTATGAGTTCTATCTTTTTTCTTCTTAGAAATTGTTTTATTTTTCTTCAGCCTCATTCCCATTTTGCTTAAGTGTTGGCAGAACAGCTCAAGACCGCTCGGTGGTGGTTCCTACCCACTCGGTGGCCTGCACGGTGGGGGCTGCAGACTGATCTTCTGTGGCCGGCTGAGCCCTCCAGTCTTCAGTAGGAAACTGCTGAATGGGCACAGAGGGCACCTGCACCCACTTGGAGCAGTCTGCGACCTCAGGCTGAGCAGCAGTGAACTCTGGCCCTGGTGCAGTCCATTGTCCCTGAAATTCCTCCTTGGTCACAGCCTCTTCAGCAGCAACCTGCTCTTCTTTTTCAATCTCTTCAGGATCCCGGTAGAAGTAGAGATCAGGCATGACTTTCCACGGGTGTTCATGGGAGATGGTGCCACGTGTGCGCAGCACTTCCCGGGCCAGCATCCACCACATCAGACCCACAGAGTGAGCTCCCTTATTGTTGCACGGGACGACAATGTCCACACAGCGCAGAGGAGAATCTGGGTTACACAGAGCAATGGTTGGCAGATTGATGTAAGATGCCTCCGTTAGGGGCTGGCGGTCAGCCCTGGGGTCAGTAACCACCAGAAGACGTGGCTCTCAGAAGGCTGCCTGGATCCGGTTAGTGAAGGTTCCAGGAGTGAAGCGGCCAACAACAGGAGCAGATCTAGCATTAGCAGAAAGCTTCAGCACAGCCCGTGGGCCAGTGTTCCTAGAGGCTGTGACGCTGACGTCAGCAGGGTTCTCAATGGCCACCATGGCTCGAGCTGCCAGGAGGAGCTTTTCCCAAGTCTGCTTTAGATTTATGATGTAGATTCCATCACTTTTCCTTTTATAGATATACCGCTCCCTCTGGAAATCCAGGTTGGTGTCCCCTACGTGAGTTCCTGTATCAAGGAACTTGAAGACGTCCTCCTTCTTCATTTGCAGAACATCAAGGACACCGGACATTGTGAAGTTTTCCTCTAAGTTATGATGGGAATCAAGAACAATGCCACATGGATCCCTGCCTGGGCAATTCGGAAGGGGAGTCTTATCTTTCGTCCAGGTAAAATCTTTGACCAAAATCTTATATAAATTCCCTAAGCAGTTCTGTTAATTTAGAAGACAAGTATCCTGATGATTAAGTTCTGCCCAAGGTATTTACTACTTATTCCCATAATGCAACAGGTAAGGAAATACAGATACAGATAGCGATACAGAAATAGACAAAGAAACATAGAAGTAGAAACATACATGCAAATACACCTATTATGAAGTAGGCATCCTTCTTACCCTATGTCTTTACATATTTATATCTCATTTCCTTTATAGTAAGAAATACATTCCCCAACACTATTAATGTATTTACTTGTTTCCTCATTGATAATATATAAAAATATTTTCAGAATTGCTTCAACCATATATACATTTTTTTCTCATTAGTGAGACACAACTTAATATAAAATAAATGTTCTTTATAGTTTTCTATTTGCACTCAAAAATAGCCAGGAAATCTACCCCCTGTATAATTATAGAGATATTTATCAATTTTCTTTACAGTTGCAATGTGTCTACATACACACCCTACCTTATCCAACCAATCTCCTTTATCTGGTCATAAGGATCAACAACCAGGTGTACAAAGTTTGGTGTTATTGGGTCTGTATTTTTTGGGTAAATTTCCAAAATCAAATGGTAGATTTGGACAATAATTGCATCTGTCGTTTTGATAGGCTTTGTCCTACCACTTCCAGGCTTACAGCCCTGTTATGAGTTCTCAAGATCATGTAGGAATGCTGTTTCCTGTTTTGTCATCCTTGCCTGAAGAGTATATGGTCAGCCTTCTGATATTTGTCAATCTGATGAGTGAGAGACAGTACTTCTTTTCTTTTTAATTTTTTAACGTCTTTTATTTATTTGGTACAGGGTCTCACTATGCAGCCTGGACTCATAGTGGTCTTCCTGTCTCTGCCTACCCACCACTGGGATTACAGGTGTGAGCCACCATGCCCTGTAGGAGGCTCAATAACTCCAGGCCTCCAATCCTATTGCAAGTGGGTTTCTGGGTTCCTCTTTCCCTACCTCTGCTGAGCTAAGTTCCTAGTTCTTTTACCCCGCCTATTTCCCATAAGTCTCCTGCTAGGCCCCGGAGGTGGGACTTCCTGTCATAGCCCGGTTGCCTAGTTACTCGCGCCTTTTACCCGCCGATGTCATTTCCCTATGCCTCCACTATATATACTCAGCACCTCCCCTGAATAAATGAGACTTGATCAGAATCCTGTCTTGTCTGCATTTCTCGCGTCTCCTGTCCTTTGTCCCCTCCTCAATCCCCCGCTCCTCTCCCAGGTGACCTTCGTTGACTGACCCGTGGGTCGGGACAATGCCCAATTTTGGTGGTTGGCATGATGCACCAGGGGTTCCAGGGCAGGCCTGGCATGCAGTACTGGGGCTTGAACCTGAATCCTTGTGCTTGCCAGGCAGGCAATTAGACCGCTGAGCTATTTCCCCAGCACGCCCCCTCCTTTTTTGAGAGACAATATTTCTATGTTAAGTTTAATTTGGATTTTTCTTCTTCTTCAGCAAACATCTGTATGCATTGAAGGCAATGTTTTATTTTTTGTGCTTGCTCTCTATTCATATGTTTTTTCCATTTTATCAGTTTTAATTGGGAGGACTTTTAAACAGAAATCTTTTGTGCAACTGTAAACATATATTATATGCAGATAGAAATTAAGTAGAGTACTTATCAAGAATAATAAATTGATATATTTGTTCATCATTTTGCAAATAGAAAAACAAAACAAAACACAAAATTTCTAGTAGGTCATTCACTAATTTACCTTTTAGTCCTCATGTGGGGCTTAATGATGTTTATTTATGTACATATTTCTGTTCAAACCAGAAGGGAAAAGGGCCAGGCTTGACTTTTCTTCAGAAATACTTCCTTCATTAGCAAGTGAAATACTGTGCTCTCTGAGTAGCCACGAGTAAGTCTGAGCACAGCCCCATGGATCACATCAGTACTGACGTACATTAAGAGAGGAATGGCTCCCTATGTACTGTAAGCAGGCACTGAAGACTCTTTGGTAAATTCCCTGGTTTCTCCTTTTTCTACTCCACTGCTTTCTCTTGCTATTATTTTTGGAAATAGAGGGCAATTCTGATAATAGCATCTACTTTATTTTCTCTCCTAGCTCCTTAGAACTGTACCTTAATTGCAAGTTTGATGCATTGGTTTTCAACACTTGCTATTGGAAGTTGATGTACACAGAGAAAAGTGCACACATACGTATCTTGAGATGCATGTTCACATGGAGAACAAACACCCAGTTCAATGACTGGTCATCAGTGTCCCCAAAGCTACTGTTTGCACCCGCTTCCAGCCATGATCCTGCAGCCTGTTTCTTAATTTTCAGAAATTGAACCATAGACTACATACCATGTTCTTTTGCAAAAAGTTTGCAAAAACTTCCCAAGTTTTTGCACTTTAGCTTTTCTTAACATGAGCAGCAATACCAGTGATGTCAATTTTAAATTTAAAAATCAAAGCCCAACGCATTGTTACTCAGATGCATTTCATGTTTGCAGCTGGGGAGAAACTGATAGCAAAATTAAACACACACAGGTACACATGCATCTTCAAATCTTACAAAAAACAATTATTAATCTTCTTCCACATCATATTGAATCAGTGGATACGTGATATCGTTTTGCAAAAACTTCCTAAGATGTACAGCTCTTTGGTCACTCAGCCTTTGTAACAAGAGGAGCTTTTGCACCCTATCCCTAGACAATTGGTACCAGCCCAGGGTCCGACTCAGCTGTAGGGTGCCACAGTCCTATGCACTTGGCCTAAGCCCTTGCCTATCTCTTCAGTGTCTCGAGTTCCATTAGGTATGTGAGGAAGACAAGCTGTGCTGCTGAGGTTGCTATCTCCAGACTCCCTCCATTTCCAGCCTAGTGACCAGTGCTATCCTCTCTTCCTTGGCGAAACCCAGAGCTTCCCTTGTGCTCCACGCATACCAATTTTGATATTTGACTTCTCCTTCCAGGTGCATGCAACATTTGTCAATGTTGTTAGATAAATAAAAACCACAAAAATAAACACTGCTCTGATATTTGTGACCTAAGCCTAATCGCACATTTGCATGTCTAGTGAATTCCATAGTTCAGTTTGTTAATATTTGCTAAGTGCAATCAGTGCGCCAGGCATGGACCAAGGTAATGACACCCAACATTTAACCGAAACAAAATAAGTCCTTCAGGGACCTGACACATAATTAAATACTTTTATACCCTTTTAAGTTCAGTGTAATGGAGACAGCAAAGATGATGGAAAAAATACAAAGCAGTCATCCCAGAAGTTGATGCAGATGGTATTTACCACGTAAATACTTAGTGAGTGATAGTATTGGTAGCAGTACTTGATCTCAGTAACAATGCCAAGAACCTCTACACTTCAACTGCATCAGATGAAAACAGGTTTGATTCTACCACGTAGCCACTGATTCAGTATGGTGTGGAGGAAGATTAAGTTATTTTTCGTAAGATTTGAAGATGTGCGTGTACCTGTGTGTGTTTAATTTTACTATCAGTTTCTCCCCAACTGCAAACGCAAAATGTATCTCAAAAACAATGTCTTGGGCTTTGGCTTTCCAATGTAAAATCAACATCACTAGTATTGCTGATTGTGCTGAGAAAAGCTAAAGTGCAGTATTCTCTCTATTATAATTCCAAAAGTAAAAATGTCATATCAGAGATAGTGAATCATATGCTGACCTTTTTATTTAGTAAGTCATGTGGTAAACTCATTGTGCGTCCCACCTTGTATTTCAAAAACACAATAATTTCAAAGGCATGGGAGACTTCTCTCCTATATATTTGAAAACATTTGTTATTAAATACTGGGCTTTTCCAGGCCGAATGAAAACAGCTCGAGTGACTTTATGATAAATTCTCCGTCTTTTGCTGTTGCCCTAAGCTATCACACACAGCTCTATTTTCCAATTTGTTTACTGCACAAAGCTAAAAAATATAGACCCAGAACAGTCTCTCTCTATAGAATGAACAATTGAGCTCACTCCGTGGTTGAGATAAACAATTTGCCAGCTCTGGGTAGCTTAGTTTTTATATCTGCGACGGGAGGAATGTGTTCTTTTTAACTTTCTCTGAAGAATATTTTTGAGGGCTAACAAATGAAACTTGCCATCTTTTAAATAGATATTTCTTTAATCCACATAGAATTAGCAATTACGTCTCCAAATTCAGTTGGAGAGAGTTGTTTCAGCTTTAAGAGGGCTCTTTTCTTTGCTTCTAGAAGAAATGTCAGTAACTGTAATACATGCTATCGAGTATCGATTCTCAATAATTAATGTATCACAAGGAATTAAATGACGTAGATAATGCCAAGCGGCACTTAACAGAGAGTAAAGTGATGTATGAGGGTTGAATCCTCGATCTTTTTATTTTTCATTAAAAATAAAAAGATGCAGAGAGATGGAAACAGACGATTCCTTCTTCCAGGCTGCAGAAGGAACCAAGCTTGACAGTTGCCTTGTTTTACATTTTTCCGAAATTGAGAAAATAAAGCCAGGTTTAAGCCATGCAGCGTCGTGCTTTACTACGGCAACCCTGGTCTTATGAACTTATCTCATAATAAGTTCATAAGACCAAATCTTTCTTGGAAGATAAACAGGGATTTTGTTAAAGTATTTTCAGTTCATTTGCCACCCAGGAGAAAATTGTTTTGAAAATAATTTTTCTAAGTTTTTCATACAAACAGATGACATAGAAAACACATGCCAGTTCTTCATGATGAATGTAAATAATTATGTCTCACAGGTGTATACTACCACAAACAAATAAATAGCTCCCCAAAAAATTATAGATAAGCAGTCATCAGCAAATATATCATGGTTTGACTGAGACAGAATTCCTGAGTTAATGAGGATTGATGCACAAGTCCTCTTAGAAAATATTATCTTTTTTTTTTTCTTTAAAGCATCTCTTGCCTTTTCGAAAGACATACAACATCATTTACACCTCAGTGGTAGCAGATAATTTCACAGAAATAAACTTTCAGAAGTACCTTCCCAGTAAGTAGGTATTAT